GCCGCCGGCCCCGCCTCCCCGCCTCCATCCTCCTTCCCGTCCTTTCCTCTTGCTCCCTTCCGCCCCCTTCTCCCTCGGCCTCTGCCTTCCCTCGGTCTCCTGTCTGTCTCCGGTCACCTTCCTGTTTCTGTCTCTCCTCTCTGCCTCCCTCCCACCTCTTTCTCTCTGCTTCCTCTCTCTGCCTTTCTTTGTCCCTCTCTCTCCCGTCTGTCTCTCCTTCCTCCTCCCCCCTCCTGGCCTGGGTCTCTCACTCTGCACCTACTTCCTTCTCCTCTCCCAGTCTGCCTTTCTTTCTCCCTCTCGCTCCCTCCCTTCTTCCTTCTCCTCTCTCTCTCTCTCTCTCTCTCTCTCTCTCTCTCTCTCTCTCTCTCTGTCGCTCCGCCTCTCCTCCGTCTTGCTCTCCTCTGTCTCTCTTCTCCTCGCTGTCTCCTGTCACTCTCCGTCTCTCTCTCCTGTCTTTCCTGTCTCCCTCCCTTCCCACCCTCCTTCCCATCTTCCTCCCTTCCTCTCCTTTCCCCCTCTGTGTGTCTCTCCTCTCTCTCTTGTCCCTCTCTTTCTCTCTCTCCGCTCTGTCTTTCCTGTCTCTGTGTCTCCCTCCCATCTCTTTCTCTCTCCTCCCTCTCTCTGTCTCTCTCTCTCCTCTGTCTCTCCTTCCTCCTCCCCCCTCCTGGTCTCTGCCTTTCACTCTGCATCTTTCTCCTTCTCCCCTCTCAGTCTGCCCCTCTCTCTTTCTCTCGTGGTCTCTCCTCTCTCTCTGTCTCTCCTCCTCCCCCTCTCCTGGTCTCTCACTCACACCTTTCTCCTTCTCCTCTCTCAGTCCATCTCTCTGTCTTGTGCCATCTTTGTGCCTTGGTGCACTTATACATATCCCCGTGTGCCTGTCTCTACCTCTGGTTCTCTGCATCTCTGCTCCTCCACCTGCCTGTCTCTTTCCCTCCCTCCGTCTCTGTGCACCGTTTCTGTGACTCTTCCTGAGAGGTGTCACTGCCAGGGTCTCAGACGTCGCGTCTCTTTCTGGTCCTCTTCTTGTTGTGTGTTTTTAAGCCTCTGCTGGGATTTCTCAGACGTGGCGCTAGTGACATCGTGGGGCAGTCTGAGGTCTTTGCAGTGTGGGCAGGCACTGTCCTGTGTGCGTAGGGTGCTGAGCAGCATCGCTGGCTCCACCCGCTGGATGCCCGGAGCACCCCGGTCCCCAGCTGTGATGACCAAAAGTGTCTTGCAAAATGACAAGGACCACCTTGAGGGGGGTACAGTTGCCCACTGAGGACTATTCCTGTTTCTCTGGGAGTCTCCCCTTCTCTCTGCAGTGTTTTTCTATTCCCCCCATGTCATTGTATAAGCGTCTCTCTCTCTCCTCCCTCCTCTGTTTCTCTCGTCTCCTCTCTGTTTTCCTCTCTGTTCTCTCTCTCATCTCTTTTTTCTTTCTCTCTCTCTCCCTGCCCCCCTCCTCTTTCTCCCTCTCTGTTCTCTGTCTCTCTCCCTCTCTCTCTTCTTTCTCCTCTCCCTCTCTCTTTCTTCTCTCTCTTCCCCCTTCTCCGTCTGTCTCCCTTTCTCCCTCTCCCCCCATCTCTCTCTTTCTGCCCTTGTGTCTGTGACTCTGTCAGCCTCCCTGGCTCTGTCTCTCTCCTGTATCTCTCTGTAGCTACAGCCCGCCCCCCCCCCACCTTCTCTGCCACTCTGTGTGAAATCTCTTCAGCTCTGCAGCGCTCTCTCTTGCTCACTAACTGTCCCCCCACTCCATCTCTCGACCTCTCCTCTCCTCTCCCCTCCCTTGTCCTCCTCCGCCCAGGACCTCACTTGTCACCAGCAGCTCCAGGGCATCGCTGGGCTGGGACCAGACACCAGGTGCCCAGTCTGGCCTCCGGTAGGAGCAGCGATAACTGCCCCCTTGGGCCGGAGTCACCTCCTCCAGGAAGAACTCTGCCAGCTCCGAGGACACGTCCCGGAAGAGTAGGGGGGCGATTTCTCCAGGCTTGAAAAGTGCAAATCTCCAGGCGGCTTGGGGTGCCCGGCACTTCAAGGTTACATTGACCCCAGGAGTCACGACTGCAGCTGGCTGAGCTCCCAGCCAAGGCTTGGGGTATGAAGCTGGGGGGACTGAATAAACAGGGTTGCCTGGGTTCTTGAGTCTCCTCTGGTAGCCCCAGAAGATGAAGAGGACGTCGAGGAAGGAGGAACATCACCTTGGACAATTGCTGCCCGTTTCTCAGCCTCAGTTCTTAGTTCCCTTCTTGTAAAATCAGGGAGGTCTGAACTGCAGAAGGTTGTTAAAACTAGCTGCAGGCTAGGCATGGTGGCTTATGCCTATAATCCTAGCACTTTGGGAGGCCAAGGCAGGAGGATCGCTTGAGCCCAGGAGTTCGAGACCAGCCTGGGCAACATAGTGAGACCTTGTCTCTTAAAAAAAAAAAAATCAAATGAATTAGCTGGGCATGGTGGTGTGCATCTGTAGTCCCAGATATTCGGGAGACTGAGGCAGGAGGTCCTGAGCCCAGGTGGTCAAGGCTGTGGTAAGTTGTGATTGTGCCCCTGTGTTCCAGCCTAGGCAACAAAGTGAGACCCTCCCCAACTAAAAAAAACAAAACAACAACACAAAAAACTAGCTGGAATCAGAGGAGCAAGACAGAAATTTCTGAGTATTACTCCACAGCCTTTTTTTCCCTTTTCCTTTTTCTTTTTTGAGTCAGAGTCTCACATTGTTGCCCAGGCTGGAGTGCAGTGGCACTCTCACAGCCATCGCAGCCTCAACCTGCTGGGCTCAGGCAATCCTTCCTCCTCAGCCTTCCAAATAGTGGGAACTACAGGCCTGTACCACTACACCCAGCTGATTTTTTAATTTATTGTAGAGACAAGGTCGTGCCAAATTGCTCAGGCTGGTCTTGAAACCCTAGGTTCAGGCACTCCTCTCACCTCTGGCCTCCCAAAGTGCAGGGATTATAGGTGTGAGCCAGTGTGCCCAGCTACTACACATATTTTAATCATGCCCAGATCTCTGTAATTCTAAATAACTTTCCAGAATATTTGCAATGTATTTAGCATTTCAAGAGTTGCCAAAACTTGATATTTGGGGGAAAAAATCATGTTGGATCTCATCCTCACACTATTCCCCCAAACAACTTCCAGATTAAAGACCTACACGTGTTTTGTTTTGCTTTGTTACTATAAAAGTACTTAAAAAAAAACCTATAAGAAACATTTGTTTTGGAGTATGAAAGGATTCTTAAAATATAAAGAAGATTAACTTTTTTAGTCAGTTCTCACTCTGTAACCCAGGCTGGAGGGCAGTGGCATGATCATGGCCCACCTAGCCTCAACCTTCTGGACTCAGACGATTCTTCTACCTCAGCCTCCTGAGTAGCTGGAACTATAGACACACACCACCACACCCGGCTAATTTGTTTTATTTTTTTTGGAGATGAGGTCTCACTATATTGTCCAGGCTGTTCTTGAACTCCTGGGCTCAAGCAATTCTCCTGCCTCAGCCTCCCAAAGTACTGAGATGACAGATGTGAGCCATCACGCCTGGCCAGAAGATTAATTCATTTGACCATTTCCGTTTTTTAAAATGGCACATGCTGGCTGGGCTCGGTGGCTCAGCCTGTAATCCCAGCACTTTGGGAGGCTGAGGCGAGAGTATTGCCTGAGACCCACCTAGACAACTCAGCGAGGCCTCGTCTCAACAATAAATCAAAAATTAGCCGGGCATGGTAGTGCATGCCTGTAGTTCCGGCTACTTGGAAGGCTGAGGTGAAAGGATCACTGGAGCGACCGGGAGCATGCCACTGCACTCCAGCCTGGGTGACAGAGTGAGCCTCCAACTCAACAACAACAACAAAAAACGGCACATGCTAAAAGGCAAATAAATGAAAATGGAAGACAAGTGACAGTACCTGCAGGCATCACTTATTCATAAATCACGTGGACTGAAAGTATAGAAAGAAATCTTAGAATCAACTCAATTGAGGGTTGGGCAGAATGTGAACAGGCAAGTTCAGTTGACCAAAACATATCTGGAGGGGGAAGAGTTGCTTAATATAGTAGGAATCGTTAAAAAGAAATAAAACAACACTGAGATACTTTTGCCTATCAGGGTATCAGAGATTAAAACAATGGGTAGCCAGGTGTGGTGGCTCACACCTATAATCCCAGCACTTTCGGAGGCAGAGGAAAGAGGATTGCCTGAACCCAAGGGTTCGAGACCACCCTGGGTAACTTGGTGAGACCTCATCTCTACAATAAATTTTTTAAAAAATTAGCTGGGTGTGGTGGCATGCACCTGTAGTTCCAGCAACTTGGAAGGCTGAAATGGAAGGATCGCCTAAACCCAGCAGGTCGAGTCTGTGGTGGCTGTGAGCATGCCACTGCACTCCAGCCTAGGTGACAGAGTGAGTGACACTCTGACTCAAAAAAAAAAGGGGGGGGGAGTTTGACTGATGGGAAAGAGTTGAAACAAAAAATGGCAGAAGCACTAAAAGGCATCAAAATGGACAAGTTCAAAAACTGTTTTGAGCAGTGGAAAAAGTGTCTGGATAGGTGTACTGCATCAAACGGAAAGGACTTTGAAGGTGGCTGAAGTTTAAACGTGTAAGAATAAATACACAATTTTTTATAAACCTGTTTTTTGGGGGGGTCCCCTAGTATATGCGCATGAGGACCTCATACAGGAGTGCTCTTTGCAGAACTGATTGGGAGGGTGAGAAATTGAAAATAACTTAAATATATGTCAAGAGAGGACTGGTCAAACAAACTAGAATCCAGCCACACAATAGCAAATGCTAGTCAGCAGTTCTGTGGGTCTTTTTTGTTTTAGTCAGTCTCACTCTGTCACCCAAGCTAGAGTGAAGTGACATGCTGCTCATGGCCACTGCAGCCTCGACCTTCTACCTCAGCCCTCCAAGTAGCTGAAACTACAGGTATGTGCCACCATATTCGGCTAATTTTTTGATTTATTGTAGAGACAAGGTCTCACCGAGTTGCCCAGGCTGGTGTTGAACTCCTGGTCTCAGGCAATCCTCTCGCCTCCACTTCTCAAAGTGCTGGGATGACAGGTGTGAGTCACTGCACCTGGCTTTTTTTTTTTTTTTAAGAGGTGGAGCTAGCTATAGGACATTGAAATATCTCCAAGAGTGATTTCAAAGTAAGAAATGCAAGATGCGGAAAAGCGTGAGTCCCAAAATTATCAATTTTGCTTTGGCAAGAAAAAAAGTATATAAATACATATATGTGTGTGAATGCATGAACATTTTTGTAAGTATTCAGAAGATTATTTTTTAGGAAAGTGGGGAAGAGGAAGAGGCAAACTGTTATACATTCTTTGGTAATGATTGAATTTTTTAGACCATGAATATATATTAGCTTTATCATTCAAAAACCAATTTAAAATAAAGTGATAGCCAGGCATGGTGGCTCACACCTATAATTCCAGCACTTTAGGAGGCAGAAGTGAGAGGATTGTTTGAGTCCAGGGGTTTGAGACCAGTCTGGGCAACTTGGTGAGACCTCATCTCTACAATAAATCAAAAAATTAGCTGGGCATGGTGGTATGCACCTGTAATCCCTGCTCCTTAGAAGGCTGAGGCAGGAGGATCGCTTGGGCTCAGCAGGTCGAGGTTGCAGTGGCCATGATTGTGCTACGGCACTCCAGCCTGGATGACAGAGTGAGAGTCTGACTCAAAAAATAAAATAATATTAAATTAAATTAATTGATAGTTAAGGAATTAATGGTTCCTCAGATGATTCTTATTTGAAGTTGGAGTATAGTGGGAGGAGGTTTACAAGAAAGGAGAGGTCCTGTTAGAAAACCTAGGAATTGGGGGCCAGGCTCGGTGGCTCAGCCTGTAATCTCAGCACTTTGAGAGCCAAGGCAAGTGGACTGCCTGAGCCCACAGGTTCAAGACCAGCCCAGGCAACTTGGTGAGACCTTGTCTCTACAATAAATTGAAAATTAGCGGGGCATGGTAGTGCATACCTGTAGTTCTGGCTGAGGTAGAAGGATCGGTGGAGCCCAGCAGATTGACGCTGGGGTGGCCATGAGCATGCCACTGCACTCCAGCCTGGGCGACAGAGTGAGACTCTGACTCAAGAAAAAAGAAGAAAAAAAAGAAAACCTAGGAAGAAAATCTCGAGCTGTCCCAGGGTGGGGGGCCCTACTTTTGTGGAAAGGGGATTCCAAGTGGAGGAAGCCAGGGGAATAACTGCCATTGCAGGAGATCCTGTTCCTTAAGCCCTGCACTGTGCTACACTCAGTGCTTTACACGTGTGACTTTATTAAATCCTCACGACAGCCCATGTCAGAGAAAAAGCATCTTAGCAAGCTGTGGTTTGTTCAAGGTCATGTAATGGAGAAGATGGTGGAACTGAGGTTCTAGTTTAGCTCTCTTTAGTTCCAAAGTTCATGGCCATCATTACTCACCTATCATAGTAAAGAAACTGAGAAAGGAAGGAGAAAAGGAAAGAGGGAGGGAAGGAAGGAAAGAGAAAAGAATGAGAGGGAAATAGGAAAGAGGGAGGGAAGGAAGGGAGGGAGGGAGGGAGAGAAGAGGGTAGAGAGAGAGGGAGGGAGGGTAGAAAGAAAGGAAGGGAGAGAGAGAGGGAAGGAGGGAAGGAGGGAGGAATGGAGGGAGGGAAGGAGGAAGGGAGGAAAAGGGAAAGAGAGGAGGGAGGGGGAGGGAGGAAGGAAGGAAAAAATGGAAGGAAGGAGGAAGGTTGGAGGGAAGAAGGGGAGGGAAGGAGGGAGAGAGGAAGAAAGGGAAATAAAAACATCTGGGATGGGATTGGGCACTAAAATAAAGTCTGAGTAGTTGGAGAAGGAGTGTCAGGAACAGATGGGGACTGTTACTCACCAGATGGCACGAGGACTGCGTGACACAGAGGCCCTGTGGGGGTCGAAGGGCTAGTTCCTTTCAATGCCCTTTGAGGCTGCCCAGTCCCATCTCACTGAGTCCCCAGTTCGTCCTTCCTCTGGGTAACAAGAATCCTATCCCTACTCCTCCTGCATCAGTAGCCAGAAATCCAGACTCCATCCCCACCTGCTTAAGAAACTGGAAATCTGAACCCAGCTCCCTGGAATCCATCTTTCCAGGGGACAATAGTCATAGGTTACAGTTTCTCTTCCTGGGATTCAGGAGCCTGGGCCTCCAGCCCTTTTTTCCCCAGGGACTCAGGTATCCTGGCTTCCATTCCCCTCCACATGAGAATCTAGGAATCTATACTCCTGTTCCCAGGAATTCAGGCTCCTACCTCCTTCTGGCTCAAGATCTAGAGAAATCTGCCCCAACTTCTTCCTCTTCCAGAAATCTCTCCTCTCTTGTTTTAGGACCCAGGGGTCTGAGGACCCAGTCCTGTCATCTTATTTGGACCTAGATTTCCAAATCCCCTGTTAGTGCTGCCTGGTCACCAACAGGATGCTTGGGTTCTCAAAGTCTCTCTCTACCTCTGCCCCCCACCCCCAGCCCAGTTGAGAACCCAGGGAGAGGAAGGGGCAGCTCACAGAGGGTCAGCAACTGCAGGCTCAGCACCAGGGCCATGGTGGGCAGGACTCCGCTGCAGCTGGAGCTGGTGTTAGCCGGCCCTCTCCCTTCTCAGGAAATGAGACAACATCAAGTCAGAGCCAGAGCCCTGTTTAAGAAGAGAGGAGTGAGGTGAGACCCTGGGTGACTGTCTCATAGACCCATGGTGCAGTGGAAAAAGTTGAGAGAGGAGGAAGTCATATCTTGTGATATTCATTAGTTCAACTTAAAAAAAAAATCACTCTGGAGACTGAGGCAGGAGGATTGCTTGAACCTAGGAGTTCAAGACCAGCCTGGACAACATAG